AGAGCTGTCCTTGAAAAAGAGCAGTTTGTGTCAGAGTTCTCTCAGCCCCACCCACCTCACAGGGTGTCTGTTGTGGGGAGGGGAAGGGAAAGGAGTTTGTAAGCCGCTCTGAGACTCCCAAATGAAGGGTGGGGTATAAATCCAATCTCTTCTTCTTCTTTTTCTTCCTGGTATTCGGGGGTAGACTGCCCATGGGCACGGATGTTCTTAGTGTCGTGGTTATGTGCGCTGACTCTAATCTGGGACAACCGGGTTTGATTCCCCACTCCTCCACTCGCAGCTGCTGGATGACCATAGTTCTGATAAGAGCTGTTCTTGAAAAAGAGCTGTTTCTGTCGAGAGCTCTCTCAGCCCCGCCCACCTCACAGGGTAGGGGAAATGAGTTTGTGAGCTGCTCTGAGACTCCCTTGGGTAGTGAAGGGCGGGGTAGAAATCTAATCTCTTCTTCTTCTTCTTCATGATCACAGAAGCTCTCACTCCCACGAACTTAACGAATCGGCACAGCGGGAGAAACCAAGCAGAGATGATAAAGGGTGTTTCGAGCTTTCCCACTGCCGATGCTGTCTTGCAAAGCAATATTCCACAGTATGGGCCACCTTCCCCTCTGAATCTTGGCTGTAAGGGAGGTGAGGAGGCACATTTGAGGAGCCCGCGTTGTAAAGACATTCCAGAGTCCTGGCGAGAGCTCCGCGAGCGCTTCCCAAACCACCACGCCCGCTGCCTTGCCTAGCCTTCAGCCTCTCGCCTGCTCTTCCCCCATTAGCGAAAACATATGCATGGATCTGAACGTCCTTGATCATTAAAAATCCATCTGCTCCTACTTAGTGCCTCGCCTTTGTTTGTGACCCCAGCAGTCTTCTAAAGCAAACAGGCATTTGGAAAACAAAAGCCACACAATTTGTTGCGGAAGAAATATCTTTTGCAGGCGGTGCGGGGGTGGGTGGGGGGAGAGCTTTGGGAAGCCGGGCCTTTTGAGAACTACGTTTCCCATAATGACCTGCAGGCTCATCATGTCATTTAGGGGAATACATGACAGATCCCCCATTGCTACCACTGACAATGTCTGGAGCCTTCCCTATAGCTGCCCTCCACCTTTGTAAGCACGGGAAGAGAGCAGAGGGCCAAACCGGATTCACCAAAGACTGACCTAAGGGGAGGGGCTGTGGCCAGTGTTCCCTCTAAGCTGAGTTAGTGTGAGCCAGCTCACAGTTTTTTAGCCTCCGGCTCACACATTTTTGTCTTCGCTCAGGAAGGACGGCTCCAGAGCAAAATAATTTATGCAGCAGCCAAATCGCTCGCCCACAACTTTAATGCCAGTAAACTCACAAAGTAGAAATGTTGCTCACAAGATTCCACAGCTTAGAGGGAACATTGGCTGTGGCTCCTTGGCAGAGCACCTGCTTGGCATGCGGACGGCCTCATGTTCAATTCATGGCATCCCCCGTTGAAAGATCAGATGGCAGGTGATGTGAAATCCTCAGTGGCCAGTTTGGTGAGCCAGTTGGGTGTAGTGGTTAGGAGTGCGGACTATAATCTGGGAGAACCGGGTTTGATTCCCTGCTCCTCCTCCACGTGCATCTGCTGGTGTGACCTTGGGTCAGTCACAAGTTCTCTCAGAGCTGTTCTCTCAAGGGCAGTCCTCGAAAGAGCTCTCTCAGCCCCGCCTACCTCACAGCGTGTCTGCTGTGGGGAGGGGGAGGGAAAGGAGATTGTCAGCCGCTCCGAGACTCTTTTGGGTAATGAAGGGCGGGGTATCAATCCAATCTCTTCTTCTTCTGTAGAGCATCTCCAGCAAAAAGGACCAGGCAATAGGTGATGTGAAAGACCCGCTGCCTGAGACCCTGGAGAGCAGCATCCCGACTGAGGAGACAATCCAGACCTTGATGAACCAACGGTCTGAGTCAGTATAAGACCGCTTCATGTGTTTGTGTGACCCGTATTCCTGTGGAGATCTGGTTCTGATTCAAAATGGAGTCCCCTGACACCCAGTTGGAAGGGGCCATACATCTCATCCAACCCCCCTGCTCAGTGCAGGATCAGCCTAGAGCGTCCCTGACAAGTGTGTGTCCAGCCGCTGCTTCAAGACTGCCAGGGAGGGGGAGCTCACCACCACCTCCCCGGGCAGCTGATTCCACTGTGGCACCACTCTGACTATCAAAAAAGGGTTTCCTAAGATCCAGCTGGTACCTCCCCGCCCTGGTCAGGGATGCTTTAGGCCAGGGGTGTCAAACATGCGGCCCGGGGGCCCGGATCAGGCCCCCGGAGGGCTTCTGTCAGGCCCGCAGTGGAACTGGCTGTCTTCTGCTTCTTCTTCCAGTTCTGCGGCTGCTGCATCATCCTAGGTTTGCAGCTTACAGATACACCCCTGAACAGCATAGTCAGGATTGCAACAGCACAGACGTTTTGATGCAATAATTCAGAGCAAGACACGGTTAAATAAACAAAATATTGTAAGAGTGCTGATGTTTTAAGCGTGTTTTTATTTTAAGTTAAAAAGCAACCCTTTGTGCTTGTGTCCTTTATACAGTTTATATCTCCGCTACCTGGCATTACATTTTATGCCACATATGGCCCAGCCCCAAAAGGTCTCATTTATGTCAGACCCGTCCCTCATAACAAAGGAGTTCGACATGAAAATCTGGTTGGTCCCTTAAGTCTGGGGGACCTGGGAATCTTCGGTCTGGAGAAGAGGAAGGTGAGGGGGGACCATGCTTGCTTCTCTTGAAGTATTTGAAGGGCTCTCAGAGGAGGGCAGGGAGCTGTTCCAGTTGGCAGCAGAGGAGAAGAGTTGTGAGAATAGGTATAAATTAAGGGCGGGAAGGTTGATCTCAGGGAAAACATTCTTACAGCGAGAGTTGTGCAACAGTGGCTGCCTAGGGAGGTGGTGAGCTCCCCCTCACTCGCGGTCTTTAAGCAGCGGCTGGACAAACCCTTGTCAGGGATGC